TATTACCTATATCATGTAAGTTAAATTAATATTATTATATTATTATTTTTTATTCGTTTCTATGATAATAAACAAAGCGTTAGAAATTAAAGTCAAATTTTTAGCGGTGTTTCGTAATTTTTCGGTGGTTGTTACTGTGGCATTAAATAACTATTGATAAAATCGAAAAATGACCTCCCTAAAGATCATCTTGATCCAATTTGCTAAAAGATAAGATACTACACGTTGAAATCCAAGCACTCTTCTGATTGAAATTTTCTACAAAGGATAAAAAAAAAGTAAAAAGTAAACGCCATTGTAAAACCACTAGCTTCCTCGCTCCTCTCAGAATCTAAAATTATAATATTAATTCAACTTGCCTACATGATATACTAAATAATAACAATATAAAATATCCAGACTGACAGACCGTTCTACGTCAGAATCGTTTTTCTTATACAATGATATTATATCAGTGAATTCAAGCTTAATACAATCCATTATACACTGACCCACTTGTAACCTACTGTACAGCAGAGCGACATCCACTTACTTGCTTTTTTTTTTTTATTAATTGTTAGACATATTTGGAAATTCGAAGTTCCTCCACTGGGAGGTTTCTTTATTCTGTGAATCATGTCTTTATTTCTTTCTCCAAACATCACATTAATTTATTGTTCTACATTTATTTGAATTTTGAACTTATGTGCAATTAAAAATATTTTAAAGTTAAAACTAAAACTAAAAATAAATATAAATGTTTTTAATTATTATTATTATATTATTATATTGTCCAAAATATAATTAAAAATGTATTCAATGTTTTCATTATTCAAAATGTAATGGTTTTTTTTTTTAATTTTATGTATTTTAAAATTTAAATTATAACTTATTTAACCTTACATAATGTTATATTCAATAATTAGTTGTTCGTGAAAAGTAGAGATCACGGACTTTTCTGTGAATTTCTTAGTATTTGTAGGGCTAGTAAATACTATCAATAGGATTATAATAATCCATAGTATATTGTTATAGAAGTTTTATAGTCACAGTATAGAGTCAGCCATTCTCATTAGTCATTTCTAGAAATACCACTCATCTACTCTAAAAAAGCATTGTGGAAAATATCCGTTTTCAGTGAGACGTTTCAAAATCTGCGTTCAGCCCTTCGGGTTCTAATTAATATAAATCATTATATTTTGTTAGCAAATTGCAACAAACCATTCATTAATATGGCTTGGAGATGATTTGTTTTCTAATCCCTAAATTTCATCACCAAAGTGCATTCCCTCAAAAAAATATGGATAAAATAAATCGAAGCCCAACGAGATTTATAGAAAACTATTTTATTCATAAATCTTTATATTTCTATCCATCAAGATTCAAGATTATCCACGCGTGGGGAAGCAAAATAGCTTCCTATTCGTTTTATTACAACGTTTCTTTTACTTTCTACAGCATATGTTATTACTTTTTATTGTATTCAGTTTACGGTCGATGAATGTCTCCAATAAGTTTTCCTTATGAACATTTCAATTGATTCATAATATTTATTGGATAGCAGATTTTTTTTTAATATTAAACAACATCACAACATTTTCGTTTGAAAGATTTTTAATTTATTTGCCATGGACTTTCTTCGTTATGGTAAAATATAAAAGTACTAAATACTGATAAGTGGAAATAACAAGTTTTTTTTGTATTTTATAAAAATTGGTAAGTTTTAACTACTTAATAAAACAAAAATTATTATTTTTAATTTATTTATTAAACAGGCAGTTACTATACTATACGCTTTTAAAGCCTCTAATGCGATTAATTCATCGATATAAAATACGCAATGATATAAATCAATTATTCTCAGAAGTCTTCTACTAATCCAGATAATATTATAACACACTCTATAAACATGTCAAAATGGCCAATTCGTTACTCGATGAAAGTACCTATATCCATAAAATATGTCGGATTTCAGAATATTATTACCTATTCCATTTTACTATACTATTGAATTCCAGCAAACGTAGTCACATGTATTATTTATGAACCTTGCGATAAATATAATGAAAGATAAAATACGCGTTTGAGTTTTATTTTTCCACTCTATATTTTATTCTGGTTGCAAATAAATATATTGAAAAATATTAATACAAATTATTTATTAAAATTTAAATTAATAGATCAAGATATAATATAATATCAATTCAATAAAACGAATTTAAATTGTAGAATAATTTGGATTTAAATCGATTCCTATTTTTTCTTCATAATTATCAATGTAATAAATGTAAGCAAAATGTATTTATCGTTATACTAGTACATATTTAACCAGTTAATTTGCATTTCTCTTTAATGGTTCATACATGCCTAGTTTAACACGAGTATATGGCTATTAATAGAAGTCTGATCACATATTATAATGAAATCCAAAATATATTGTCATTATAATGTTTTATATTATTTTATCGATTTTCCACACCAATAATGGATACCATATTTCAAATTGTTTTTTAACCCCTCTATTTATGAGGTACATATCTCGAAGTTCTATTTCAGATAAACTATAAAAGTTCATAATTTATTATTTAGATACAATAGTCAATAAGCTAGCATAATATTACGTATGTATAATAAGTATGTATGACTCTCATATGAAAATGATACAGCACCCAATAATTCATTCATCGACTACACCTTTATATTCTGTGGAGACTATAACCTTCCGAGTATTTCTTGTTAAAATAATATCAACGGACTGGTCATTTTTTATAGGCACTGTTAGTATTAAAAATCTTGAATGCCGGAAGTATTCGAACCCAATGATTTTTTCAAGAATGTTTTTAGTTAACACAAGTCTATGCTTGATCTTATATTATTTTTCTAACAATAATTATATCGTGATATAACAGACGTATCCTAATCCTGTTGTATTCCCTGATCCATACCACCCATATTCATCCACTCATCCCTATCTTGTAAGTATTAGTAACATTGTTCATCCTACATCTTTAAATAACTCTGATTCTTACTTTAATTTCTCCAAAGCAGACTACAGCAGTTGTAGCTACCTATAATTTTGTACACTTTTGTAAAATACCACGTTTCCTACAAATCTATACGTTATTACCAAGCGATCACATCAAATTTGTAAATTTTCAACTGCCATGTGAAATTTTAGCTATGAACGGTCACAAAAACTATGTTAAAATTAATCTTACTGCGATAGAAAATCCCTTATTAAGCAAGCCCAAAAAAATTATTGATTTTGTGAACCAAAATCGATCTTCTGGTGACATTCTAGTTCTATTAAGGCGACTCTAAGCGATTTGATTTTTCATGAATTTAGACCTATATGCTGGCTAAAAAATATTAATATATTCTTATTATAGTAATCCAATTTTAATTTCTTTAGCGTCTTTTCTATGTTCCGTAGTAAAAACTTTTAAACGTTTTTGTCTCATTGTCCCTCTAATAAGTACGTAGTCATTTTGAGAAACTAAGTAA